AATCTCGGGTAATCTACTATAAAATAGTTTATATTCATGTATTACTCATTTGGAGCTTTTGCGAACAATTAGAAAAATTAGAAAAGTCATGCATAGGGGGATTTTCAGCTTGCACGAATCTTTTTTCGGCCTATTGCTTGAGTTGGAATTTTGTGTGGAATTCAAAATTTAAAGGTATTTTTGTTTACTTTCCCTCTTTGCACATTTTTTTGCTTTTGTTTTCCTTTGCGCAAAGTTGTTTCCCCCCCCCCCCCCTTATCACCTTTTAAATCCAATAATATTATCTCGGTCATTTACTGCATTCTCCTCCTATGCAAGATATGGATCTAGAACGGCTACTATACAGCAGAAAAGAAATTAAGGTATCATAAGACAAAAAACTCTCATTATTCTTACATAATGACTAAACCTTTATCTTACACCCGAAGAAAAAGATCGTACGGATAAAAAAACTATCCTAATGCGGCTCTGTACTGTACAGCATTTGTCAAAGTTTTATACACTATATAAAGAGTGAATAACTAAAAACTGTAATGTACAACAACTCTTTTGACATAAAAAAAATTGAAGTGAAGTTTCAAACAGGAGAGAGTGAGGGACAGTAAGGACTGGCAAAGTAGCTCAAGTTGGGTCTATGAGGGATAAAGGCACCGTGAAGTCGTGAACCATGAGAACGTGATGTTGGAACTTGGGGAAGAGGGATGCAGAAACCGGGGAATGGGAGAATAAAAACTGATCTAGCTCGGGTAGTAAGTTAACTACATTTTTTAGTAGCAAGTTCAACTACAGTAGGTAAGGGGGACGAAAAAGTAACTAGCTTTGAGATGAGCTAGTGCAGCAAATTTTTGAGAAATTTTAAAAATGCCTCAACCTGGCTGGAAACGTTCTCAAAAATTGTCGAAAAACATTTCTTTCATCAAAACAATTACTTTCGACCGATTAAGTCAAGTTTTGAAAAAAAACTGGAAATGACTTTGGGAAAGTCTAGGTGGCGAGAAGATACAATATTATTTTTGAGTATTAAAAAACAATATTTTACGAACGAGCGTGAATAAAATATTGTTTTTAACACGAGAAAATAATATTCATGTCTTCGAGCCTCCGTGGTTGTTCTTTTTGTCATATGGACCCAAATTTTAAAAACTTACTTTGAATAAGAACAGACTTTATTTGACAACCGACAGTCCCGCGAGGAAACACACGCGTTACTATCGTTACATATTTTTTTCCAACATGATCTCTTCTCAAAATGAAGGCTATGTCTTAATTGTAAAACTCTTAAAAATTATAGATATGGCTTAAATTTGAAAATCTCCAAAATTAAGACATAACCAACAT